CCCCAAAACCCCAAAACCCCAAAACCCCAAATCTCCCATATAATATTGAAGATTATAATCATGAAAAGTCTAAAAATGAGTTCATTAAAACGTCTGATGAATTGGCTTCATTGAGACCGAGAATTTGAGGAGTTTGAGGATATGATCCCAGAAGGTACCACCTGTTTATAATAGAGTAGAGGAAATGAAGCACTTGAATGAACTAACAATTACAACTATCAAGCAAGTAAGTCTCTAGTACAACTGGTTACTACGTCTTGATGACCTACCTAATTATCAATATAGGGAGTATTGTTATTACTGATCTTTGACCTGTGATTTCTATCTTTCCATGTAAGAGTTGGTTATAGCTGTAGATGATGAAGAAAAATCCGACTCAAAGCGATGTAGATATGTTCATAGACAACCTGATTTTTACTATAGGATCTTTGCTTTCTTACGTCCTCCTTTGGTTTTACCCGCGACATTCAAAGTTTTACCTATGCCTCAGTTGCCCCATTGGGTTTTGAATGCTTGCAATTTTCTATATGACCCATTTAAAAGGACACCATAATTGATATGTAGCTTGTTATTATTGATACTGCTTCTTTTGTGCTGCAGTTATCCCTTCCAAACGGGATTTAAATAATCTCATCTTCTTCTTTGGCATCACCTCTTACATGTATGGAGCTTATCAACACTTAGATGGAGAAATTGGAACCGAGATGGTGCTCTCTGGCTTCATTGCTTTGACATTTTTCTATTTTGCAAATAATGTTCTTCACTCAAGACTTAAACATCTCTATGTCATCCTTCTTCGAAACAGTGAGCTGATAAAGGAGAAAAGGGAGGTTGTCCATGCTTTCCCACATTCAGTGCTTATAATTCCTGAACAAATCGATTCGATTACTGATTGCTATTGTAATAATGAATTTCGACCAAAGATTGCTGACATAAATAGCAAAGTAGAAGGCCTCAAGAAAGTAAATGTCTCTTGAAATACTCAATCGGATGCCCAACACTGAGCAGAAAATATTAACCTTTATGAGTACTTGATTGAAAGACAAAACCATCTCACAGATGAAAACAGAGATCCCAAATGAGTAATCTCACCTCCCAGATTATGGAATTATAACTTTCGGAAAATTTATATACAAAATTTGGACATATTTCTAGTCAAATAGAGAAAAATAGAAAATAATTGCGAAAATATAGAAAATCCCTAGCAAACTTAGTCTTCAACTTCCAACTCAGAAGAAGGTTCATTTCCTTGATAGAGATGATAAAGAAGCAGATAATGTTTCTAAAAACTTCAGTATTAAGTCTCTGAAAACAGAATGGAAAGGCCATCCTTCCTTCATGCATGTTTTTATAGATACTACTGACATTATTAAGCTCGAAGAAGCGAAGAACCGGATAAAGTTGCAGAAAATTATGTTTGCAAGTGCTAGTCATGAGTTCAAGACACCCCTGAATGTGATTATTAACTCGTTCAGGATCATATCGGAAAACTTTGATGATCTTCTGGAGACTCTAAATTCAGCAGTTCATCAAAGAATTTTTGAAAATGAAGACTTCAAAAAGAGTGTTAGTACGATTTGTAGGTTTACTAAAACTGGAACAACTTCTTCGACTTTGCTGTTAGCGCTGGCTGAGGACATCCTGAGTCTGTCTAAAATTGACAATGGAGCCTTCATCTCTCAACTAGAAGATTTTAGTGTCCCGAGTCTATTGAGAGAGGTTCGCTCTCTCTTTATAGTTCAATGTACAAATAAGAATATAAAATTCGAGATTGAATGTGACGATATTCTTGAAGAATGGGAGGCTAACTCCGATAGAAATAGAATCAGGCAGGTCTTACTCAATCTAGTCTCAAATTCCCTCAAGTTCACTTTTGGAGGAGCTATAATTATCAAAGCCTCCTTGGCTAGGAGTCTTAATGGATCTCAGGTTCTTGAATTTCGAGTTAAAGATACTGGAGTAGGAATTAAAGAAGAAGACCAAGACAAAATCTTTGAACTGTACGGAATGGTTGAGGACAAAAACAACCTAAATCCGAATGGTTGTGGACTTGGCCTTACGATAAGCAAGAAGTACATAGAACTTCTTGGAGGAAAAATATGGGTCAATTCCATCTATGGGTCTGGGACTGAGATGATATTCACCATCCTTCCAACCAATCGAAAAATCCTTAGAAGAGAAGGTAGGCCTGATTCTGAAAGTAAGAAGGCCTCTACAAACTTCTTCGAAGAATACCATGGTGAAAGGCTTGGGATGACTGTTTCATTGAGGGATAAATTCAACTTATCCAAGATTTCCCCCTTCTAAAATTCCATGTTTATGATTTTTCAATTGGAAATCGTCACAAAGGGGTTTTGGGGTTTTGGGGTTTTGGGGTTTTGGGG